TTTTTTTGAAGATTTCCAATATTCGAAACTTTCACGATTTCATGGACGAATACATTTAAAATAAGTCCATCTGGCGCGCGCACAAAAATTACTTTCAAGAGAGCTTTAGAGCTTTTGCTTTTGCTACTGAAAATGTAAGATTTCAGCTCTAAGCTTTTAGAATTGTGAATAGATTGCTAATGTAGAACATGTACTGAGTATCATTTATCCGAGATACGGCGAGAATTTGTAAACTTTCGTATCCTTATCCGAGTATGGTGTTAGAAGCAGTGTTCTGTTGTGTCTTGAATATTGACGTAGATGGCTTTGATCTGACTGTAAGCTCGAAGTGTGTCCAGACAGTTCTCACGACCATGTCCAGAATTTTTATAGCCACCGAAGGGCACATTCACCTAAACTAGCGTTGTCCAACTTCTTCAAGATAAGGCTAAGCTCATTGCAGACCTCTGTGTCGTTATAAGTGTTGATGAAAACAGTTCCAGCCTGTAGTCTAGCAGCGATTCGGTGGCATCGCGCTAAATTCCTGAAATAAAATAGTGAAATGAAAGAATGTAAAACTGATAAGTCATCATCTTACTTCGAAAAAACACCAGCTGCTAAACCATATTCAGTCTCATTCGCCCTTTGTAGCACTTCCTCTTCTGTGTCAAACGGAAGCAGCAGACAAACTGCACCAAAAATCTCATCACGCACAGCACGAGCAGTATCCTAGGTAAGCCAAAGAGGTGGGAAGAACTTTTCTCATTTTACTTTCTATTTCATAAATACACTCGGTGCATCAGAAAAGAAAAAATCAAGAAAAAAATTCAAACAACGCACGAGGCCATCCCATCCTCAGCCTCGGGATAAGAAAGAGAATCAAGGATGGATAGCAAGGCACGAAGCTCTAGAGAAACGACGTGTACTTTGTTCAAAACATAATCTCTAGACTCTTGCATTTTCAACTCATGATGAAACCGTCTTTGGGTGTCAGCGATCCCTCCGCTAAAAGCTGCCTGATCTGACCCGATACTTTTATTTTTTGAAGGATAGCGAGATTCTGAAACAGAGTGGTGGGAAGAATGAATACCAACTATGTTCGAGTAATTTCAGAAGCGACAATTTTTATGAAATTCTATGAATGCAGCGTTCCTTCCAAACGCATTTACCACGACCTTCAAATGTCAGAAAGTTGGTAATGCTTACAAGAATTAATAGCTACCAGTCAGGAGTTTGAGAATTTATAGCATGCTATATTCTTAATTTAGTTGTAGATCTACTTGTCAAGGATACGTAATAAAATTCCTTACTTTCAATCCAAGGATCACAGCCGGCTCGAGATAGAAACCATTTTCAACGCCATCAGGATGAACTCGTTTTCCACCTCGCAGAACTTGTCCACCCTACAAGGAGTAAGGAAGAACTTTGAATTTGAACTCCTGCTAATCCAAATGTATTTCATGATCCGCATCGCGCTAAAAATCTACATTAATCAAATTATGGTTATCTTTGTCCTAACGCTTCTTTTTTTTTTGAAGACTGCACTAGAGAAATTGATATCAACCGCGTCTTGTTGTTTTCTGTGATATGCAAATATTTAACTATCCTTCACATTTCTAAAAAATGTCCCATATCAGCAGCTAAATACCTCTTGTTTGGCGCTCTCAATGAAGTCCAAAATCTTGTTCAGATGAAGCTCATTGATGTTAGCGCCAACTCTCGTATCTTCTTTCAGTGGGTCGCCAACTTTGAGTTTTTCGTCGCATTCCTATAATGGCACTTTCTGTATAATGACAACGTACAAATAACTGTCTACGGATGCTCACTTTTACTAGTTCAGCTGTAAAAGCTTCAAGGATGCCTCTTTGAACGAAGACACGTGTGGCGTTTGTGCATACTTGGCCTGAACATATGCTAATATTAGGTTGATGCGTAATTTTTGCACCAAAATTATTGAAATTCGAATATTTTTTCCGTCTTCAACGAGATCTTCTGATTTGATAGATAATAGAGAGAGAAAGAGAGAAGGAGAGAGAGAGAAAGAGTGAAAATTTTGCGCTTTTACAATGTGCTTGAGTCAAAATTCTTGAGAGCATGTGACAACGATATAGGCCTGGTTAATATTTAGAATTACCCAGAAAGTGGTTTTTCGATTTTTGGTGGCAATTTACTTTATAAAATGTATTGAATACTACCTTTATAAATACGAAGAACATATTGTCTGAATTGATAGTCTCTTCAAGCATGCAAAATTATTTCATCTTCAAAGTTTTTCTATTATTAGTGATAAGATACGTACCCAGTGATAGCCAATTTTCAAATGTCTTGGCTTTGCTGGAAGTGAAAAATGATTGTAAAATATACTAGTTTACCTTGATTGAGAAAATTGGCCAACATAGTCCCCGCTACAGCGCTTTTGATATCCGTATCATCAAAGATAATCAGTTCAGATTTTCCTCCCAACTCAAGCGTCACCTGAATAAAAAATTATTATCGCACAAAAGTGAGATAGTTATTTGCTTATTAAGCACCCACTGATTGTCATATCGCCATCCCTAATTCCTTATACAGAAAAAATGCAGTCCAACTTACTGGTTTCACATTATCAGTTGCTGCTTGGCGCTGAACGCCCATTCCTCCAGCGACTGATCCAGTGAAAGAAAGCTTGCGGATAAGTGGATGAAGACATAGAAGTTTGCCAGTCTCGGCCTCTCCCTTTGATCAATCCATTTATTTGCTTCTTTGATCTCAGAATAGTTGTGTTACCTGTACTACATTATAAACACCCTCAGGGATTCCTGCGGCAGCAAGAATTTCGCCCAGGAGCACTGGTGAAGCAGGTGCGAACGGGGAAGGTTTATAGACTACAGCATTGCCAGCAGCCAAGGCAGGGGCTACCTGAGCAAATATTTTGATAAGTTAGTTGTGCTTCGTAAAAAAATTGAGTCATACCTTCCACACGCAGGTTTGAAGAGGATAATTCCATGCCCCGATACAACCAACAACTCCAAGCGGCTCTCTCCTAGTATAGGCGAATCTCCCCGTAGGGCCTCCAGGTAGATCAATTTGATCGCCTAAAATTAGCCATCTGTGTTTTTTCTAGATTCTGGCAAATCTACATATTAGCACGTCTATGTAGCGTATTTTTGCCCCTTTTTTATAAATCTGGGTGAAAAAAAA